TTTCGGTCGGTCAGGCCACATACCACGCACGCATAGTGTTGTGTGTCGTGCCTTAACCAAAATAAACTATCTCCCTTCATTATCATTAGACTTAATTAATTAATTAATTTGCTAATTATAAAATTATGTATGATGCTATAGAAGTAGGTAAGTATAATTTCTTACTATGTATTTGTACTATTAAACATATTATTAAAGAACATCGTTGTTTCAATACCACCCTCTCCCCTTCTTGAACTCAAAGTTAAACTTGTAACCCCGTTTGTAAAGACTAGCGGTATGCTGTAAGGCGGCGGGTGGGTAGGGTATATACTCATTGAAAAAAAAATCCACCGTGGTGCGTGTTATTGGCCTTGGGCGACCGTTGTTGGCGCTTGCTGTGAGGGGGAGAGAGGTGTGTGTTATACTCGGTGAAAAAAAATGCACCGTGGTATTGGCCTATGACAGGGGTCGGCAACCTGCGGCTCGCGAGCCGCATGCGGCTCTTTTGACGTCGAGGTGCGGCTCTTCAGTTCCATGGAAAAATATTAAATTATTTTATTTTCTTCTTGAAACTAATAAAAATATTAGTCTGCAACACTCGTTAATGAACGATTAAATAAATATAAACAGTAAACACTCGCTATTCTATTTGCGAATTTGACATTCTATTTTCGCAAATATCTCCCCATGAGTATTCTCAACAGCTTCCTAAAGTTTCATGGCGATCGGGTGAAAGGTGTAGTAATGAATAAAAGACAAACAGACACACACACTTACATACTACATACATTGATATATATATATATATATATATATATATATATATATATATATATATATATATATATATATATATATATATACCTAATCATAATCAAAGATCATAATATTAAAATAAAAATGTTAGTGGCTCTTTAAAAGCTGGGAAATTTTGAAAATTGTAACTTTTGGCTCTTTCGTCTCAAAAGGTTGCCGACCCCTGGCCTATGATGACGTCGGCGCTAGCGGGAAGGGGTGGGGGAGGGGGGGGGAGACGTTTTTTTTTTTTAAACCAAGAACTAGGCGTTTCAAGGCAGTAATGAAAATCAAGGACTGGTATAGTCATGTCGAATTTAACGAGTGATGCTTGCTGGGTCTATCATACGATTGCTTGGCGATGGGAGTCTCGTCAAGTTCAGTTTACATTATTAACATTGAACTATTGGGATGCTGTCATGCACAAAGTAACAGTTACCGAATGTAGCACTTAAAACATCGAGTGCATCCCGCTCATTATAAATCTTTGAAATACAAGTTATGGATAGTCCAATAACTACTAATACTTGAAGGACTACCAGAATATATGCATTGTATTATAAAATTAATCCTTACTATATAACTAAAATGTGTATCCAAATATTTTTAGGCTAACGGGATCTGCATTTAAATAAGCACAGTCAAATACCTACCCCATTCAGTAGAAATATTAGGCTACTTTTGCATGGTAGCACTACGGCATTTTTTAGATTTCGTAATGTGTAGCCTAGTCGAGCATTAAACTAGAATAAAGGGTTGTACTCAATAGCAATGACGATAATGAAATGCCGGCTTCAAATACCGGCTTCCCCGTATTCGTGGACTACAAATATAGCTCCGTCGTTTAAATGACCCCACCCTCCACCTTTTGCCTAGTTGAATATAATAAAGTTACACTTTCAACCCCGTTAGGATGCGTGAACTACTGAACTATTGAAAAAAAATCTATTCTGGTGTTAAATTCCCCTCCCCTACTCCCAGCATTTAACTTTGGGGCCATACACATCAGGAAGGTCTAGGTCGGCGTTTTATCTCGTGCAAGTTTACTCACAACACGACTACACACTATGGTTCTATCCAGGATTAAAGCTGCGACACTTACTTAGAGTGGGATTTATTCGTTAGATCATTGTGCTTCAAATTCTGTTTCATTTTAGGATTAGAGTGATAGAATGTTGGAATTCAGTTAGTTTGTTAATTAATATATTGATCTAAATGTCGTGTACCGTCAGAAACTAAATTGGTTGACAAGGCACATGTGTAGGCTAAAGAATGACCTCTAGATCTAGTCTAGATCGAGCCAAAGATGGCTGGTTAAGGTTGACATACTGTGGTTTTCAAATTTCATGGTGATGCTTTTCTAACGGATTTTATTTTGTGCTTTCTTTGGGATTATTTTGTGTGATGTGAATAATCAAAAGTAATTTGTAAGTAGTATGCTTTTCACATTCAACCAACTTAACAGTTTGCGGTCGATCTGCGGCCGGGCTGATTAATTTACATTTAGCGAAACTACACACTACACGGCGCCCTAAGGCCGTTGTTTCAGCATGCCCTACTTACTAGTCAATTATAGACAACTTTAGAATCAACACATGTAGCCAATAGAGTCCTTGCAAACAAGTGACCTAAATCACGTGATACCTACGCCCGCCGCCACAGTGGTGTACATCAGACGTAAACACAATCAGCTGTTCGCCAGCGCTGGACGTGTTCACCAGCGCTGGACGTGTTCACCGTATGTAAAGAATCGCGCCCGCGGAAAAGGAAAAATATGTTAAAAAACTTGAACTCTTAGGAATTGAAGATCCTTATACAGTTATTGACAGTTTCGTGGATAATATAAATATGTGGCCGAAATTTCTAAATAAAAATACTGTTAGTAATACCGTTTGCGTTTAGAGTTTAAGTAGACGAAGCTGATCAAATGCAGTAATATATTAGAGGTTATCTACTGTAGCAAACAGGAGACCACTTAACTCCTACAAAACCCACACTACAACGGCTAATATAATCCATGGGTAATAACCAATCTGGGTAGCATGTTATACAATTTAAGACCCTTATAATCCAGCAGGGAAGTAATCAGACACATTAATACTGACGTTCAACCGTCATGATGGCTGCCCCCACCTGTATCTAGCCCACAATAAAACCAAAGAGGAGTCTGCCCTGCCCTCCCCTGAAAATGTCTCACCTCCGTGATACCCAGCCCCACAGAGATAGTATTTCTTATATAATTTTGACCCTCAGGGCCCAGCAGGGAGAACAAAGGGGAAAGTCCCACTGCTCTCCCCTCAACACTTCTCACCTCGGTGTCATGTTATGTCATTTATAGCACACACGGCTTATCAGGGGAAAGCATTAAGGCATTAAGAATCTTAACTCTGGACAGCTACACACTAGTATACTAGCTACACACTAGGTGCCTACTGTAAACTACTAGACTGTAGGCCCTATGTAGACCTGCAATTGTATCAATTGTAGACTGGGTCCATTGTTATTATTCTAAACCATCTCACTTATAATGTTTCTAGCTTGATTTGTTTCTTTTATAAACAGTGGATTTAAAAAAAAAAATTAGCCTAATCATTAACCTAATAATAATAATGTGGTTATTTGTTGTTGGCTGGTATGATCTAGATTGTACTACTAGGCTACAAAAACTTAGTAGACCAATTACTAGATATGAATTTGAATTTAATTAAACTCAGTCCAGTATCAGATACATATTGCTGTAAAAAGACAACAAAGTAGGTAGGCCTTAGTAATTTATTAAAGCCTTCTACTACAATAATATCAACTACATGCTTGTATAAAGTTTTTACAATTTAATTTAAGTAGCAGATTCTAGATCTAAGTCTAGTCATATAATCTATTTCAATTTCAGAAAATTTCGTTTGCTAAAAAAATGATTAGATAATAGAGCGAGATTTTAGATCTTAGAGACAATTAAATGCTTTATTAGGCCTATTATGACTACTTTTGATTTATTATGGGTGTATTTTGAATCGAATGTAGATCTAAAGTAATTAAATTTAAGTAAAGAAGTAGATTCTAGATTCTATGTCTACCCAGCGGAGCCAGGTATAAGCCTACTATTAGATCTTATTATTCATATTAGCCTATAATATTACTTTTGACTTTGTCTTTTACTATTAGTATTTGTGAAGGTCGAGCATATTTGTTTTATTAATAGTTATCTTTTATAATTAAAATGAAGTTTATTATTTTACTGTCCTTACATGAAACAAAGTATCGAGAACTGCATTTGATCAGATTCGGCTACTTTAACTCTAAACGCAAACAGTATTACTAACAGTATTTTTATTTAGAAATTTTGTCCACATATTTATTTATACGAAACTGTCAATAACAGTATAAGGATCTTCAATTCCTAAGAGTTCAAGTTTTTTAACGTATTTTTCCTTTTCCGCGGGTGCGGTTCTTTACATACAGTGAACGCGTCCAGCGCTGGTGAACACGTCCAGCGCTGGCGAACAGCTGATTGTGTTTACGTCTGATGTACACCACTGTGGCGGCGGGCGTAGGTATCACGAACGGACGTGACGTCATATGAAAGGACTCTATACATCGATTTTTATTTAATAATCTTCAAAAGCCATTCCTCTAGGCTAGGGTCGTTATTTTCACGAAATTGTCGTTTTCCAATTTGTTGTCAAGAAACTGGTATTTAGTTCACGAGAACGTACGAAAACCACTCATGCGTGACCGAAATCGTCGATCGGGTGCCTTCACGTGGTTTGACACGTGTTGACATGGGCCTTTGTTTACATCGAAACATAGCTCAAAACGGCCCTTTTTTTAATTAATTCTTCGAAAAAATGGCTATGTCCATTTCTAAAAAGTGTCATTTTCGGGCCCATTTTAAATAACGTAAAAAAATCCGAACTACACGTAGAAAAAATGGCTTTTTCGGCCCTTTTTAGCTCCAAAAACGCCGTGTTTACGGGTCGCGTGACGTCATCGTGACGTCAGCCGCCAACCAAAACGCGTTGAAAGCGCGCGTTTGATTGGTTGGCGGCGGATACTATGAAATATCAAGGGTTTTCTCTAAATTTTTACCACTAACTCAGCTCTTATGAGTACCTGGCCACAAATTTACACCAACTGACGTCGTACTGGCCACACAATCATGCATGATTAACCTTTGAACTAACAATCCACGTGACCCATCAAGGAATGATAATTAATCAACTTACCCGACAACAGTAGTGATGTACACGTCATCACAACAACAGCCACATAAGTGTAGAGTAGCATTGTAATGCTGTTCTTGTTACCCGCTGTTTAGGAGCTAATGTTGGAGCTTATTTAACAACTTATTTCGAATGTTATGAGCTTATATCACACACAACACACCCGGGATACACTCCTTAAGTAGGTAATGGGATTTCCAGCCTAGTTTTAGTCTGTGTCTAACCGGATGTTTACCAACTTTTACCGGATGTATTTTATTGTTAACATTATCTAGGTAAGAAAACAAGCACTTAAAAACTAGCCCTTTGTTTATCTTTACACTCCTTATATAGAAATTACATAGTTCTATATAAATGGAAGGAAATTAGGTGACCTCTATTTAGTACACACCCAGTTCTTAGTTATTTTTTATTTTTACATTTATAATCGTTTTAAAATCTCTTAAATACGAAACCGCACTCACAAAAATAATGAACTAAAAATTTCCACGAACGCACGTAATTCTTGGTTGCTTTTTTGTTGTTTTTTTCATTGAAATTTCCGGTGAATATTTTTTCTTAGCCCGCGTGATGTATTTTGAATGTTGTTTAGCCTTTTAAACTCGTGTTTCTTTCGCTATCTTTCAACTTTGATAAATTACAGTAAAGGCCTACTAAAAAATTGAAACAAATCTTGTTTGACAAATTGCTTCAGACTCGCCGAGTTCCACAAAACAAAGTATCGATTACTGGAACAAAACTTTAACACATTTTAAAGAAAACAAAATAGCACCATTAATTCTACTGCAAAAAAAAAAAAAAAAAAAAAAAAAAATTACTTGTTTTGCTTTGCAAGGATACTTAGAGCAATAAAAGTACGAAGTAATCGAGGAAAAAGTCCCCTATGGGTGGGAAGGGCAGTCATTAAGGTCATGTCGCTCTAGGGGCAGATAATTACCAAGGGGCGTAACTCTACAGCCTAACTCCTAAGGAAGATTTTCAATCTGTCAACCAGTGCCCCCTAGACGACAGACCACACCAGTCCAGTTCCAAACTGACCAGCACAACTCGGTCAGTGAACTCAATTTGTATTTATATGATAGCACTTTAAACAAATCGCGTCACTGAAGTACATTTCTTTGTTAATGCACGGTACGAGTTATACAGAAATCCGTAAGGGAAATAACCACGAATAGCGTTGACTTCAGATTTAATTCCCTTGAGTGATCTTTACATTAGATTTAGTCAGGACTTTGGCGTGTGCTTGACACATGTGTTGTAAAATGACGTGTAGTTTAGGGAGATAAAGCAATTTATTGAAGTAAAACTAATTTATTGAAGTATAACTAACTTAATGAAGTATGACTAATTGATTGAAGCAAAAATAGTTTATTGAAGCAAAACTAATATATTGAAGTAGCTTTTGCAAGCTGCTCTAATGACAAGTTCTAAAGCTTCAATTATTGAGGTCGTTTTAATTTGTCATTTAATGCACGTTTACGTATAATTCACGTCACGTGGTTAAAATATGCCGGGTAGGCCACATTCACCAAAATACCATACAACTATCCACACAGTCTTCACATCTTACAATGTATTATCCACCTATCCACACATTAGTTAGATCCACCCGTCTTACCATCCACATATCAACACATTCTTTAGTTACTTACTTAATCCTCATCACTCCCTGTGGAGTATAAGGCAGCAACAAATCTCCGCCATTCCATTCTGTCTTGGGCGAGCATCTTTAGTTCATGCCAGGTCTTGACAGTAGCCTGCACTTCTTCTTCCATTTTATCCTCCATGTCCCCTGTGGTCTTACTCTCTCTTTCTTTTACCAAGTGGAGTCAATATTAGCGTTATGTTCGGGAGTCTTCTTGCTAAGGTTCATGCTAAGGACACGACTCAGCCATCTCCCCATTCGTACTTCTGAAACAATGTCGTTTAATCCTGTCCTTCGTCTTATTTTTTTGTTCGGGATTTTGTCGTCCCACTTTATCCTGAGAGTACATTGGAAGGATCTTCTTTCAAAGTCTCTAGGGCGGCTCTCTACTTTCTTGTTTAGTTTCCAGGACTCTGCAACATAGAGGAGTACAGAACGTACACTAGACGTGTAGATCCTTATTTCGGTTCCCCCATGCAATGAGGATGATTTCGAGATCGTAGCAAGTCTGTTGAAAGCCTGGTGGCCATTTCTTTCTCAATGCTGCCATTTGCTGAGATGTAGCTGCCGAAGTACTTAGTCTTCGACCTCTTCTAGCTCTTCTAGCTCTGCTCCATTAGCAAAGGTCTTGAGAACACTTTTAGTTTTTACTTTCATTAGCTTGGTTTTCTTTAAACCAACGCTTTTAGCAATTTGCTCTATTTTTGTGGGTTTTTTGTGAGCATGTAAAAGAAGAGCCAAGTAATCAGTTTAGTCACAGTCTTCAAGTGGTTGGTAAGTTCCCAAACAATTCTTCTTGGCTTGTCCCCAGTGGCTCTTCTCATAATCCAGTCTATTACCACCAAAACGACGACAGGTGATATGACACAGCCCTGTTTGACACTAGCTTTTACCTTGATTTTCATGTCGCACACAGCATTGGTTGTCATAGTACATGTTCTAGAGATTGTTTATGATATTTCCTGGAAAGCCATATAGCTCTAGTATCTTCCTTAGTGATGGAGATGGATGCTATCAAATGACTTCTCGAAATCTATGTAGTTGATGTAGAGAGACGAATTCCACTCCAGGGACTGTTCCACTATAGTGCGAAAGACAAATATTTGGTCGTTACATGACCTGTTGGCCCTGAAGCCAGCTTGTTCTTCACGAAGGATCCCATCAATTCCTTTCCTCATTCTTTGTAATAGGACTCTGCAGAAGATTTTTCCTGGTACTGACATAAGGTTAATGCCTCTCCAGTTTTCACAAAGATTCAGGTTGTCCTTTTTTTGGTAATTTGATGATGATTCCCCTTTGTATGAGTCTAGCACTTTTTCTTCATTCTATACTTTATTGAAGATCCCTGATAAAGTTTGTGCACCTATTTTTAGGTCTGCATTTAGTATCTCCGCAGTGATTCTGTCCTCTCCTGGAGCTTTATTGCTTTTTGTTTTTTTTTAACACGTTTTTATTAACTCAGCTTCGCGTGGATGTGTTTGTTGTTAAAATTGACATCGAAAATTAGCCCACTTCTGATTGTTCTATAGTTCTGAAATTTGGCATGCAGGTTACTTTCGCCTAACAATTTCAGATGCAATCATAAAAACTAGCAATTAGAGACCGTAATTAGCTTAATTTAATTACGCCCCAAGGACCATAAAATTGAGGACATGATTTCTAAAGATACCGACAAGACTGGAGGCCTATAGACACAGTTACTTCGGCCCCAATCGATGTGAGCGCGCTGGCCGTGATCGTATAGTGGTTAGTACTTCGCGTTGTGGCCGCGACAACCCAGGTTGTACTTCGCGTTGTGGCCGCGACAACCCAGGTTCGAATCCTGGTCGCTCAAGATTTTTTTAGTCCGTGTATTTATAAACACTTTTTTAAAAACCACGTTTTTCATGTGTAGCAACGGACTAAAAAGGAGAAAATAAAATACTTAAAAAAAAACTTTTTAAAAAACCACGTTTTTCTTGTGGACTAAAAAGTAGAAAATAACTATTTACATACATTTGATGACAAAAAACGTGGGTCGGGCAGATGGGTCGGGAAATTTGATGGTGAACGTACCCACGTTTTTTGTCATCAAATGTATGTAAATAGTTATTTTCTACTTTTTAGTCCACAAGAAAAACGTGGTTTTTTAAAAAGTTTTTTTTTAAGTATTTTATTTAAAACGTTTTTCTTAACTCAGCTTCGCGTTTGTTTGGTTGTTTGGATGTTTGTTGTTAAAATTGACATCGAAAATTAGCCCACTTCTGATTGCTCTAGAGACCTGAAATTTGGCATGCATGCTACTTTCGCCTAACAATTTCAGATGCAATCATAAAAACTAGCAATTAGTGACCGTAATTAGCTTAATTTAATTACGCCCCAAGGACCATAAAATTGAGGACATGATTTCTAAAGATACCGACAAGACTGGAGTCCTAATGACACAGTTACTTCGGCCCCAATCGATGTGAGCGCGCTGGCCGTGATCGTAGAGTTGTTAGTACTTCGCGTTGTGGCCGCGACAACCCAGGTTCGAATCCTGGTCGCTCAAGATTTTTAGTCCGTGTATTTATAAACACTTTTTTAAAAACCACGTTTTTCATGTGTAGCAACGGACTAAAAAGGAGAAAATAAAATACTTAAAAAAAACTTTTTAAAAAACCACGTTTTTCTTGTGGACTAAAAAGTAGAAAATAACTATTTACATACATTTGATGACAAAAAACGTGGGTCGGGCAGATGGGTCGGGAAATTTGATGGTGAACGTACCCACGTTTTTTGTCATCAAATGTATGTAAATAGTTATTTTCTACTTTTTAGTCCACAAGAAAAACGTGGTTTTTTAAAAAGTTTTTTTTAAGTATTTTATTAATAGCTTCTATTATTTCTTGTTCTAGGATGGGTCCTCTAGACATTTTAAAATGTATGTTCATGTCAATGAAGTCAGCAGTTTCTTCTGGATCTGGTCTGTTTAGGGTCTCTTCAAAGTATTCTTCCCATCTTTTCAGTTGATTTTTCTCCGTTGTGAGAATTCTCCCATTTTTGTCCTTGTAGATGATCTGTTTGCTATTCCGCCTGTTAGAGTCCTGATAACCTTGTAGACTGTTCTGCTATCTCCCTTATCAGCTTCAGCCTGTGCTTCTGTGGCCATTGTGTCTACATAGTTTCTCTTATCCTTCCTAGCATTCATTTTACCTCTTTTTGCAGTCTTCTATATTCTACATCGTTCCGTACCCTGCTTTCCATGGTTCCAGATAGTGTTTCTATTTTGGCTTCTCTTCTCTTTTCAATGAGATTCCAAGTATCGTTTGAGATCCATTCCTTCCTTTGTTTGTTCCTGTGTCCTAGTATGCATTGGCTTGTTTTCGTGTATACATCCAGGATCTTCTCGCATTGTGTATTGGTGTCCTCTTCTGGTAGGTTCTCGAGTAGACTAAATCTATTTTTTAGTTCAATTGCGAAGTTTGCCTTAATGGTGGGATCTTTTAGTTAAGCTGAGTCAAATAGCTGGTGGTTTACTTTCCTGTCAGCTCTCCTAAGCTTGAGTTGTAGCTTGCACAAGAC